CAGAAGAGGAGGCGGCGGCTGCAGCGGGCCACTGAGACCACGCGACGGAAAATGGACGGTCACGCGCAGGCGGGCATGCGCGCGGGGACGCAAGCAGGAAACGGCGCAGGGACATAAATTCAGTGTGAAGGGACTTGTCTTTTTTTTTTTTTTTAAGTATACGAATACACAGGAAAAAATACACAGTGAGATGTGAATAGCTGTCATTTCTCAGGTTGTAAAGTTACAGACGCCTTTTCTTTTGATCTTTTGAATTTCTCCCAGAGAACACGGACTCCTTTTGTGGGAAGGAGTAAAAACTAATTTTGAGAAAGAAAATAAAAGCCACGCTGGAAGAAGGGCTCGTGTCTTCCTTTTATATAACCCCACTGAATCAAATACATAATCTTTGGACATAAAAGCCCTTGAACAGAACTCCAGCCTGGCAATCTCATTTAATCTTCCAGGCCAAGGCGTTCTGTACAGAGTTTAGGAATGATCTACGAGGACAAAAAACAAAACAAAACAAAACAAACAAACCCAACAACGACAACGTGACTGGCAGGGGTGTATCTGGGCTCGGAGGAGACCTGCTCGCCCGCCCGGAGACGTCAGGAGCTGACCTGAGGCGGCGGCCCAGCAGTGGCACCGGGCCAGGGACAGTGCATTAGGAGACCAATTACCTGGGAAGCATGTGGCGAGGCGGCTCAGAACGAGCAGAGCCTCAAGGAAGGCCACTTTGGCATCTGGGAGCTCTTCTCTGCTTGGTCTGAAGACCTTCCCAGGAGGGACTTAAGTGCAGCTGGATCTTAATATGATCAGCTTCACTCAAGCCCCATTTGCCATGCTCCCCAAAGCCTCCAGGCCGCCCCTGGTTGGCTGCAACAGAGGGGCAGGCACCCAGGGCCACTGCCAAGGGAAGGTCAGGGTCACAGGGCCACCAGCCCCAGGGGATCCAGCATGAGGGCTGGTGCTGGGTTCAGGAGGCCCATGGAATATTCCACTTGAAATAATGACATTACTGAGCACTTTACTATCAGCAGATCAGTCACCACCTCCACCCTCCTCACAAGACCTGAGAGAGGCAGCTGCCTCTGTGTCCCTTTCACAGTGAGTAAACTGAGACCCAGAGACTGCCTGACCAGTCTGAGGTCACTCAGCTAGAAAGGGCCAAGTGGGATTCAGAGCCAGGTCTGCCTGACTCAAGCTGCGGTTCTGTCTGCAGAGTTATTCCGGCTCTCTGAGGCTGGGGTGGGGGTGGGGACCCACCACTGTGCCAGAATGCCACCCTTGCAGGCAGTGACTATAAGGGGCATGGCCATTCTTGCAAAGGTGACTCCGGGCCTGTCTAGTCCGACGTTGTTCAACAGGACGATGCAGCCCCATGTGCTGCAAGATCCTTGCCACACGTCGGCCGCCAGCCTGAGGCACATCTACACCATTCCTTGCAGGGCCTCCCGACAGGCACTGCGACCTTGTGGGGCTGCCTATGCCTAGGTTCTGCAATTAGCCGGGGCTCTCAGGGGAGGTCACGGCACCCGAGTGGGGGAAGGAACCCCAGCCTTGCTGAGGGGCTTCACGCCAGCCCTGCCTCATTCTCCAGGGGCCTCGGAGGACTTCCCTCCTCTTGGCCTCAGTTTTCTCATCTATCTCTGGGGGAGTAGCTCTTACCCCTTACAGGATCTTGGGAAGACAAAGGGCAATGTGGGTCCAAGAGTTGGCCGCTCTCCTCTCCTGGCACAGGGCCGACTGAGCAGAGGGGTGCTGAGAAGGAACCATGCCAGACTCTCCCCTTGATTTCTATGTCTTGCTGTCCTCTGTGGCCCCTCCGTGCCACCAGGTGAACAGAGGGTAAGGACTGGTGGCAGAGTGAGCTGTGCAGGGAAGAAGGTGGCAGGTAACCCATGGATAACTTTTCAGAGGTCGCAGTCCAGGAAGTTTTCTCTCACCAACAAGGCGTGAGGGAAGACACTACTGTGGGGCCTCACCTCCTCTTGTCTCCTGAGGCCTGCCTGGCAGGTCCCAGCAGCCTGAACACCCCTGAGCCAGACTTTGGCAAGTTCCTATGGTATCCCAGGGTACCGCTCAACCACCTGCCCACCAGGAGGCAGGGGAGATACAGGCCTAAACCCACAACTGGGCAGGGAGTGCGCAGGGCCCAGGAGCTCAGAGTGTCCACCCACACGGTAGCCAGGGAGGGTCTTTCTGCTGCAGCCTCCCAGAAGGCCCAGGTGGTGCGGGCAGACCCAGGCTACAGGCTACAGGCTACAGCTCGTTCCCAGCCTCCTTAGGAGCGCTGCCTCCGCCCAGCGCTACTCGGTGCCTGTCAGTGTGCTCCCCCTTGCCCTCGTTCCAGTGGGCGGCCGCTGCAACCTGACCACACAGCTCTTGGAGGCCCGGGCCTGGGGTGGGCGCTGCTGTCCAGGATCCCAGGATAGGGCAGGGACTCTGCTGGCTGCTTCCCTGAGAAGGGGCCAGGACAGCAGTCCCTCCAGTCCCTGGAGACTGGTGGCAGCCTCCCCCAGGCCTGCGCAGAACCAGGCGTGGCCCTAAATGCCTGTCAAGTAGCCGCACAGGGTTCCCAGCACCAGCTCCCAGGAGCTCACCGGTCCTCTACTATCTCAGTTACCTTACATGCTTTAAAAAAGTAACCGCCTCATAGGGCTGCTTTTAGCAGCAAATGGCTTTAGTAAAGTTAAGAGGCAAAACAGTAAGGTGCTCTGGAAGCTCCCTCAAGAGTTTCACCTTTCCTCCCTGCAGAAACCTAGCATCTGGGCCCCAAGATAATGGGCAAAGGATCCCACGTCTGCATGTCCCCACCGCTGGAGGTCACAGGAGACGGGTTTGTCCCTGGGTCAGGAGCATGACATCACTGCTATGGGGGGGGTGGGCAGCGTGGAAACAGTCACAGCAGCCTGAGCTCTGAGGGCTCACTGGGAAGATGATCTCCTGGGAGATGCTGGCTGTGAAGAAAGGTACTGCCGAATTGATCCCGTTTCCCTACGCCGCTCTCTGACGCTTCCCACCACCCCCGGCTTTAACACTGAAAAACAGCCCGGCCCCATACGAGGCTGTTGTCAGGCTGGGGAAGGCATTTATAATTCAGCACCTCACCACTGAGCCAGCTGGAAAAGGCACCATTAGCCTACATTCCACGCTAATAAATTAACATCAAAGTCATTTTTCTGGTGAGCCCGATATCGGAATGATCCTATCTGAGATGATTCCAGCAACACCAAACAGCCTGGGAGTCTTATGGGGGCAGGGTCCTTCCCAGGAAAAAGGGGGAGGGGGCGGGACAGCTGCAGACGGGTCCCTCTGAGGAGAGTGGGCAGGCGGAAGCATGTGTATGTAAAGATTTAAATAAACAGGATGCGTCACTATGGAGACATGCAGCTTCTTCAAAGGCATCATCTAAGAAAAATAATCAGGACTTGGGATCCAACACTACAAGTGTTGATGACCAGAAAAGGCAAAGTGGGTCTTAGCACTCGCAGCCAAGTGGAAGCTGCCAGAAGAAGGATCGCTAGCAGGACCAGGACCCATCCTCTGTCAGGGTTTTCTTTGAAATCTTCCAGCTGGAGCCTTCCGCTCAGCACAGCACCCCCATAACTCTCCTGGGGCTGCGGTGACACAATCTGGGAGACAGTGCCACACACTGACCCGATGCGACAGACCTGTCCCACTCGGGGAGGGCTCAGACCAGCTGGGAGGTGGCAGGAGCAAGTGCCACGAGGAAGTGGCAGGCTGACAGGTTGTGACCACGAGGGGCCTACTCGACTGTGACAACAGGGGCCCTGACTGCAATGCTGGGAACGGTGGTGAAGAAGGCCGGTGCTGAGCCCGGGTGTCATTCAGAGTCTGAAAGCCTGTTTGGACAGACAGGAAACACCGTGGAGTCACTTACCAGGAAGTTGGGCCAGAATTTGTGTCACACACAGAGACTGGATGGTCTCCTCGAAATGAGCTTCCCCAGGTAACGGTCATTACTAGTCCATTGGCAGTGGGGCTTCTGATGAGGAAATGCTAGTGGTGGCCAAGGAGAGGTGGGTGCAGATGCCTGGCCTGAGGCTCAGGACAGTGGGGACACAGCGCCGACCATGGGGAGTGAGGGTGAGCTGGGAGGCCAGAACTGCAGAAGGAGCCCTGAGGCTTGGGGCCCGGGAATGCCCACCTCAATCAGTGGGCAGAGGAGAAAGCGCACAAGCCCAGGGATTAGTCTTTGAACTGTGGGTTTTCACTTGGAGTGATTCTAAATTATTAAACCTCTAAGAGACTCAATCATCCAGTCTCTAAGATGGGGACAGAATCATCTTTCTTGTAACCAAACCAACAAAAGAGAAAAAAAAAACAAAACACCTAGGCAATGCAGGTTACTGAAAGCTCAAAAAAGGGAGGGGAAATGCTAAAAACACCTAAATCCGGGCCCTCCCTGGTGGCGCAGCGGGTTAAAGCACAGCAGTGAGAAGCTAAAGCCACTTCCCCATGAGTTCGATCCCCGCCTGCCCCGGAGGTGACCCACAGGCGCGGCAGACCTCTCCTGACCCGCCCGCCGCTCCCCTCAGCAGTGTACTTTGTCGATCTGCCTGCTCTGCTCCCCACTCTGTCTCTGATAATCCTCTCACCGCCCCTGCACCTCTGGCCTGTACCCCAGTTCTGGATGCATAAATAAACACATCTTTAAAGAAAAATACCTAAATCCATTTTCCTTCATGCAACCACCACTATATTTGCCTCCTCTGCTTATAACTAATTGGTAAAAAGCTTTGCTCAACTCCTAGTTAAGTTCTAGCCCCAGTAAAACACATCGGCAGGGGCTGTGGGCGCTGAGCATGGCCGTGCTCCGCCACTCGGGAATGCCTGGCCATTCCTAGAGCCTACAGTTTACTCCATGGCCAGTGCCTGCCAGACAATTCGGAAGGCGTGTTATCTGCATGGGGGAGGACAGGGCGGCTCTGCCACGGGACAGCAGGAGACAAAGCCCAAGCGAGCCTCTGCAGATAAAGCGCCTGGGGCGCGGGGCGCAGTGGGGCAGGGTGTGCTCCTCCCGGCCTGCAGGGCGAGTGAAGAGAGCCGACCTGCAGCAGACGCAAGGCAGAGCATCACCCCCATTCGGAGGGGCACTGCCAGACTCGGAACCATCTGCCACTCCTTCACTTACGGGAACGGGAGAGGCATTTCCCAGTGTCCTGCGTCGAACTCAAAAGAAAGCTGGCTGCCCCACCCTGGCCAGGTTTTGTTTTAATAGGTCAAAAACTGGAAGTTAAACAGAGGTTTTCTTTGCATGGCGCTTGGTAAGATGCTCAAATTTTCTAAAGCTGTTAGTATTCACAGAGGAACGAGTCACGCATGTGGCAATGGGGGGGGGGGAGTGCAAGCAGAGGCCTGGTCAAGAACAGAACCTGGTGGAGCCTTCCACCCCAGCGCTGGGCAGGTCCTGCCCTGCCTTCGTGCTTCAGCTCCACCATGGGGTCACCAGTCTACAGGGTCGAACGGAAACAAGGTCAAAAGCAAGCAGGCTCCGAAAATCGCCCCCCGCCCCTGCAACTAGGGCAGCTGCCTCTCCGCCCTATTTTCATCTACTGAAACCCACTTTCTTTCTCTTGGGTTTCCCACATCTCGGTTTGGAGTTCATCTGGCACGCTACTTCTAAGTCAAGAGGTCAAGAAAGACACATGTTTTGATGATGCAATAGGAGTCAACCACTCTGTTCTGTTTTGGGAACCTCGGTGACATCATGGGCTGACCCCTGAATCTCAGAAAGAAAACACTGAGTCAGAAGGAAGCCTTACTCACAGGGCCTCTGAAATCTAAAGTGGAGAGAACGATTAGGTAACTGATATATCTATTCCCTGGAGGCCTGCTCCCTTCCATCCGCCTTGGGTTTAAATGACTCCAGTCGTTCTCCGCGGAAACTAATCTATGTGGACAGGTGTGTCACCAGCAGGGAATGTGCTGCCTGTCTGCCTACTTCTCATGACATCACTGCTACTCCTCCCTCTGAGGGGGCAGTTTTCGGTGGTTCGAGTACTTCAGGTGACTTTTGAAGATGGCTGCACTAGAAAATACTGCCTTCCCTGTGTGTCCAGAGCACACAGCCTGGTTAGTGTGTCCTGGGAAGACTGATGGGCCAGGAGAGGCGGCTTTCCCTACAGCAGCACGGCCGGGACACAGAGTCAAGGCCCACTCAGCTGTGAAACCACCTCTGTTTGTGCCTCAGCAGCTGTCTGCCTACAGAAGGTTCCAGAGCCACTGACACATATTTACATCTCCACTTCACTTCAGTCACAAGGAACAAACACATGCGGATTTACCCCAGAGGCAGAGTCCATTCATATTTCTTCAAGTGAAGCAGAGGCAGAGGAGGGTGGGGAGAAAAACTGCTTATGGATAAAATTATCTGTGAGCACAACCACAGCAGTTTTTAATTTGTCTCAAGAAAATACGTGATTGCAAGATGTGATTGGGGATTACTATTCCCACAGTAACACATTACGGACTGGGATGGTGGCTGTCATTTCACAGGACTCAGAGCTGGGAAGAAACTCCCACCCTCATCCGCCAAACAGCCACACCGCAAGAGGAGCTGCTCCGGCCTTGGCAAGCGTCTTCACGTGGACGGTCTGCTTGGTCTCAGCGTGGCTTTCTGCTCAGAGATCACGCATCACCAGTGCCCCCCTGCGGGGTCTGGATACACTGTCCGAAAGGTCAGGTTTATTCTCGGTTCTCTAGAGTGGTACTCTTTGGGCACTCGATGCTAAATGGAAATATAAATACTCTAAATAAACACACACATATTTTTACTTCAAAGCGATTTAAAAACTACTTAGGGACAACACTGACATATTTCCACATTAATCCCTCACCCCCACAACAGGGAGCAAACAGTGTTTCAAGTCCTGAGCGAGGTCCCCTTTCCCGAAGTGAACCCTGCCCCTCACGATCTGCCAGCATCTCGTGATAAGTTATTTTCATCTTTCCTAATTGGTGCTCTTCCTTCTCAGTCTCTTGCCATTTTCCTCAATCTTATACATCACAAAATGGCTAAGACTAAAGAGAGACATGAGATTCCTCTCTGCTCCTCAGGGTCCTGATCTCGACTGGCACACCTTAAAAGCGGCCTGGCTTCAGCTGAGGAGCTCTGTCGTTCAATCTGACAGCCTGGCTACCCAAAGCCATGGAAATGAATGAGAATTAAGCTAAAAATTCAGTTCTTTAGCACGTTAGCCACGTTTCAAGAGATCAACAGATGCTCTTGTCAAATGGCTGCTGCACTGGGCTGCAAAGCCACAGGGCACTTCCACCGTCACAGAAAGTTCTCCTGAGCAACCCTGCTGTGGAGGTCCGTTTTGGGTGTTAGCAGCAGCAGCGCTCCCTGGAAGTGATGTATAAGAGCAGTATAAGAGCAACTTGCCCTACATTTACTACGCTAACTCACATGGGGCACCGCCCCCACAGGAGGGAGGGCTGAGGGAGGGCCCCTACTGCTTGCGTGCTCTCACCTGCCAGTCAGCCTGTGTAGCTCCTTCCATGACTAACAAGGTGCCGTGATCCAAGGGTATCTTCACTCTTTCCACATACGTGAAGTCTCCGTCCTCTTCCTAGAACACAGTATTCATCGCACTGAATATTGGCCTGTGAGGTCAAGACGCCACAGAGGGGACATGGCCGAGGTGGACAGCTCCCCTCAGCCGGCAGCACAAGGTCCCTACTTGCTGTCGCCGGGCAGCTGTCTGGCTGCAGGCAAGTTACCCACCTCTCCGTGCCTTCATACTGCCTTGTGCACTGGGGACGATGACAGGGCCTGCCACAGGGCTGCTGGGCACCTCAACTGACAGCGAGTGTGTGAATTCCTTGGCCGCAGGCACACGGTAAGTGTGGAGTAAATGTTTGCTATAGTTACTATTATCAGCACCCAAAATGCAGAAAATCCCATCCTGAACTACAAAGGAGTTAAAAGTCTTACAGGAACTCTTCTGCTATGCTTTCTCCTGTGTTTTGACGTAGTCAGTGTGGAGAAAATGGGCTTTCAAACAAGGTATGTTGTGATGGGCTCTGACCACATTCCCACAAGGTAGCTAATTCACTAATTGCCAGTGTTGAAAAGAGCCAACACTCTTCCGATAGCTACTCTGGTGTTTTGGAGACATAATCATGTTTCTTTCCAGAATAATCAACGGCAAGATCTTCTCAAAAAAGGGAGATCCGGCTTGATGCGGACAGTGCTGCCAAACTGAGACTGACTGCTGGGTCTTGAAGAAAGCACCCTAACTCCTAAACACCTGGGTACTCACTCTGCCCCTTTTCCCCAAGATCCACTTTCTCTCTCAGTCCACTCATGTCCAGCGCCTAACAGTGCTTCCCAGCAGCTTGCGAAGCAGCCAGCAGGTGGTGTCACTCTTCCCCACAGCTCACGCAGGGGCACATTAAACAACATCTCTGCTCACAGCAACACAGCACAAGTCAAGAGTTGAGGCTGGGCCAGCCTGGGCTTCCTGACTGCATCGCTCCATCCTGGCCGATCCATCTACGCATCTGCTCCACTTCCGATGCACGAGATTACATTTGGGTTACTACAGGATTGATTCCACTGCAATCCTGTGTTTATGTTTATCATCGTAGGAATACTTCTTAGAACATAACTGTTTACAGTGATTTCCCCCAGGAAAATCAAAGTCAAAACAATGATGAACTTGCATAAACAGTGCAAGTTCCAGACCCCACCCCTTGGCAATGACTTTGTCAAGCACAGTCATAGCTTTTCTAGACAGAAAACAGAAGTGTTTGAAACAACTTTTAGTTTCGGTGATCGATTTCAATTGGTTGCCACAGTTTCCCTTCCAAGAGTCAGCAAGTACCAAAACATTTGCCTCTAACCCCTCAGGCGACCAGAAAGCAGTGGGAGGGGACCCCATCCTTAGGAGGCTCAGTTCCTAGCAAACGTTGCTCCCCGACACAAGCCCCGCAGACAAAGATGTCTGTCTTTCTGAAGGAAAGCTATCAGAACGGAACACATGGGTCATTAGATTAGAGGGCCCAAGGTTCCTGATTCAGGCCAGGGTTCAAAAAAGCTAACTGGGGCAACCGCAGCTGTCTGCACAGCCAGGGTGTGCCTCGGGCCTCCACCTATAAACGAAGCGCAGCGCGAGAAGGGGTGTGGAATGAGCAGGGGAAGACACCGCAGCAGAACATGGAAACCAACCTGAGAGGAAGAGCTCTGGGAACGTTAAAAGCGTCCCTGTGGGGGAGAGCTGCCACTGGTTCTCCGCGATGCAGGCAGGGGCCCAGCAGGTGAAAGAGAAATCAGCGCAAGAGGGGATAATGGAAAGCGACGTCAGCACATCCACGCTGCTTAAGCCTCCTAAGGCCTGAGAGTACATCTCGGTTGTTTTCCACACATTACATCCCACAGAACCATTAGCTGTACCGAGAAGCAGAAGAGGGTGTGTCCTGACTGGGAGGGAGCTCGTCGCAGCGTCCCAAAGGAGACAGCCACACAGTACACCCACTGTGGCCGGCAGCCGCGGCTCTGCTGCGTACTGCTGGGTCCTCTCGACACCTTGGCTTAGAAAATGCACTCCTAGTTCCAGAAGGAGAGAGTCAAAAAAGTGGCCAAGGGACTCCCCCCGGGCGGCACAGAGCTCACAAATGCTGCTGCTTCTTGAGGCCCACACACCACAGTGCCTTTAGCTCCACTGACGCACACACGTAGACTGGTCCTGCTCAGGACGCGGCTACAAGGCCGGACGTGCTCACGGCCGTGCACACTGCTGCAGTGTGAGGGCGAGCAGCGGGCGGCACAGCCAGGCCGTTCAGAGGAACACTCGCAGGCACGCGGCTCAGTGAGCAAAGCACGTCTCTCCCCCTTTACTCAGGCCTTTCTTCAAAACAAAACATGGCTTATGGTTAAAATGTCCATCCCTGACCCCAAATTAAAAAAAGAAGCTCCAAGGGTCGTTCTTAGTCTTTGGGTGGGTTTTGTTGTTGATATTTTTAGTTTTCCACATACTTGAGAACCTCATAAATACACAGAAAAAGCAAATAATATTTCACGCTAACAATGATCAACATTTTCACTCCCTCCCTAACCACTGCTGCTTCATCTGAATGCTGAATGATTTCCAAGGAATTCAGGGGCTCTCTAAAGTTCCACCACTCTACCTTCCCCTGACTGACGGAAGAGTTGACCCACTTTTCTTTAGAAAAATGCTATTTAGGGGAAAAAAAAGTCTGGATGAATTTATCATTTTGTCATTACTAGTCATCCGGCAGACAGGAAACAAATGCTTGTCAAGGAAGGTCTCTTCCCACTCTATGATATCCAAGAGGATTTTTCATATAATCCCCCTTTTGAGGAGGGGTCCTAGAAATGACAACCAACCATCAACGCTTGAAAATCATCTTCAGCATAGTTTAACATAATTTCACCAGTTCAAAAACATATTCCTAGTTATTCGTGCAATGTCTGCCTTCGACTGCCCTTTCATAAGCTCTATGACAGGAGGACAATGTTGTTTTGCTTTTTAGAAACAGGCTCAGTACAGGTCACACATATACTGACGGTTAACTGCGTGATGACTAACTGAAAGAAAGACCAAGAGGATGTGAACATCACCTTTAACTCTCCCACGCAGAATTCACCCAGCACACACAGGGCTGTTGCACGTGTACAAAAGTGTACCCCAAATTTGAACACTAAACTGTAAGCATTGCACTATATCCTAAATGTACATTATTTTAATAATATGGTTTTAGAATACGCCTCTGTATGCACAAGATCCTTCCTCCTTTAAACGCAAATTATTTCCTAGTCAGGAAATGTACATCAGGCACAGTGCTCGTGCCCAGGACATGTGGTGAGCGAGTGACCAAGGCAAAGCACTGTTTTGTGAGGGACCCCACTCACAAAACAAACAGACAAAAAACTAGTGCAAGTAGATCTTGAACAAAATATTTTCGAATGCTTTAAGATATATATAGATATATTTTTTAAAGATTTATTTATTTATGCATACAGAACTGGGGTACAGGCCAGAGGTGCAGGGTGTTGAGAGGATTCACCAGAGACAGAGTGGGGAGCAGACCAGGCCGACTGACAAAGTACACTGCTGAGGGGAGCAGCGGGCGGGTCAGGAGAGGTCTGCCGCACCATGTGGGTCACCTCTGGGGCAGCGATCGAACTCATGCTGAAGTGGCTTTAGCTTCTTAGTGCTGTGTTTATCTGCTGCGCCAGCAGGGAGGGCCCAAGATCTATTTTTAAAACTAGAATTACTGGACCCAAGAGTATGAACTATATGGCACTTTGACTCATACTAGCAAGGTGCTTTCTTAGGAAGGTTATGGCAATTTGACATTCTATCAGGAAAATATGCCAGCACTTTCCCTCTGTTGCATCACCAATACTGAATTTTGTCAATGACTAAGAAAAACTGAGGGGAGAACGGCATCTCATTAAACTTAAAATGTTTTAATTACTAATCCATTTCCACGTATTTCTGTCTGCCCCTCTGCGGTCTGCATTTCTCCTGTTGGGAGCTCTGCTATTGGGAGCTCTGTCCATGGTCTATGTCCCGCGTTCTACAGAGTGTTAATCATTTCCTTAATGATCTGTAACAACAGACAGTAAGACAGTTTCCCTTTGTCATACTTTCTGCAAATATTTATCATTTACTATTTGTCTCTTAACTGTGTTTATGATGTTTAACATAGATAGCTAGAAAGTTCTTGGAGTCAATGCTACTGACCTTTCTTTGGCTCCCCTTCATGGTTTTTATGCTTAGAAAGTCTTTTCCCATTCTAAGGAAAGTTAAATATACAACTACATTTCCTTTCAGTTAAAAAAAAAAGTTTACATTCTTAGATTTAACTCTTTAATCCAGCGGCGCTGGCTGGTTCTCCCACTCTCCCCCCTCACTTTTTTTTTTTTTAAATCACAATGTTCATGTATTTTAAAGACCATGATTTCAATATGAACAACAGGGTGTATGCCGCGCTCAGGGGCCAGGCACGCCAGGTACTATGCACACATGCTGTCAATTCTCACTAAACCCAGGGAAGGAGGTGGGAGTTATATTGGATCAGGAGCAAAATGAACATTCTTTGAGAAACTCTCTGTTTCTAAGTTGAAAAGCTGGCAGGGGCCGGCAGGGCTAATGTTGGCACTCGGACATGCTTGGTCTACAGCGCGTGTTCTTTCTGCTCTACTGTGCTCTCCAAAGTGACCTCTTTCCTTCTGGACTCCTGTAGCATTTCTTTTCCTGTGTAATACGGCACCCTGACTACCCTGTTAGGGTCACAACCCAGCAAGCAGCATATACAAGAGGTGTGGACAGCATGCAACACAGTGGGAAATGGGGGCCCCGGGGAACCAGGCGTGGATTCAGGTGGCAGCTGCTCTGTGCTGTAGTTCATCACCCCCCAGTGTTGCCCAATTTCCTGGGTTTTCCAGGGAAGCCACTAAATACGTGAGATTTTATGTAATCTCCTGAGTTGTAAGTGTTGGCAACTACTTCCATTTCTTTAAAAATACTGGGCGATTTAAACAAGACAAGTCTGGGGACCAGCTTCAGCTCCAGAGCTGCCCCACAGAGCTGCTGACACC